CAGTTTGACAAATGAGGACCACCAGAGTTCATTCAGACTCATTTTGAGTTTGGTTCCATTCACAAGTGCCAGGTAAATTTAATGGAGAATGAGATAAGACCAAGTGTGGGAGTTTTGGTATTGGAGGCAGGTTAGGTTCCAGCCCTCCCTGCCAAAGCTATAAATACAAATGACCAATTTAACAACACAAAAGACCACCTACAAGATCTATACCTGGGATGTAATCAGTTGCTCTGCGCCTTCTTTTAATGACCGATTCCCTGCCAAGTTTATGGGGACTTTTAATGTGAGCATCACATTTTTGAAGGTCATATCATTATGACCATGTTTGATGTGAGGGTGGGAAAATATAAGCCTAAATAATGTCTGCATAAGGTTACACTGCCCTGAGCTGTAAACTGAAATCAACAAGAGCTTATTGGGGAACAAAATAAAACAAAATAAAAACATGCAAGGAAGAAGGCTTAGATACTACAGAGTCTGCAACTCTGAGAAGGGCTACCATTGAAATGACTTTCTATTCTGTTCAGGAAATGAAATTAGTACAGGAAAAGCACCACGGTATTATCAAGTAACACTATTTAAGGGCATTTTGAGAAGGGAAGACAGACAGACAGAAAGAAAAAAAAACAAAAAAACCCCAGATCGCCACTTGAATGTGGCAACAGGATATGATTTACAAAAGAAAAAATAAATCATCATGATTATTAAAAGAACTGAATTGTAGCTCATGTAAGAAAAAGGCTGTGCATGAGTCAACTGAGTCACAATGCATATGACTTCTCAGGAATGAAGAATGTAATTGCTTAAGCTTTTATGAATGATCCAAACCCCAAATCCACTGCTTCTGAGTCGATTCCAACCCACAGCAGCCCTACACAACAGCGCTGCTCCATGGTTTCCAAGGTTGTAATCTTTATGAGCGAAGAACGTCCTTTCTCCCAAGGAGCAGCTGGTAGGTTCAAACCTCTGACCGTTAGGTTAGTAGCAGAGCAAGCACACAACCACTGGGGCCATCAGAGCTCCTTTTATGAATGACAAGGGCCTAATAGAAAACTAGCTTTCCTGCTAACTACTTTGTATAAGCTGCTCTATAGAACTATAGGACTAACTGTGCCTACTGGTGGTTGTTATATTGCATCTGTGCTCATCTAGGCCAATACTTCAGGAACCTTCTTATTTTACACTCTTTCTTGGGGGCAACAGCATTCATTTCTATAGTTTAAACCACTATCTCTAAAGCCTCATTCAGATCTCTCCTATGAGCTCAACATCTCTACTGTGTGCTATATATATATGGAGTTGTAGGATATGCACTGAACTGCTAACCACAAAGTTGGTGGTTCAAACCCACAGCTGCTCCTTGGAAACCCTATACAAGGTTGAGTCAGAACTGACTCGATGGCACTTAATACAAACACACACACACACATATATGACATATATCAGTGGTTCAAGCTCACCAGCTGATCCTTAGCAACCCTATATAGGGTTGCTATGAGTCAGAACTGACATGAGAGCACTCAATAACTAACAACAATAACAAATATATACACATATATATGTTGTTGTTGTTGTTGTTAAGTGCCGTCGAGTCGGTTCCGACCCATAGCGACCCTGTACAGGGTTTCCGAGGGTGTAAATCTTTACGGGAGTAGAAAGCCTCATCTTTCTCCCGCGGAGCGGCTGGTAGTTTCGAACCGCTGACCTTAAGGTTCGCAGCCCGATTCGTAACCACTACACTATGTGGAAACCCTATATTGGGTCACTATAACTATGAGCTGTCTACATACATATACATGTTGTTAAGTGCTGCCAAGTCAGTTCCAACCCATAGCAACCCAGTGTAGGGTTTCCGAGGTGAGTTCGAACCACTGAGCTTGTGTTTCAAACTGACCTTGCTGTCTGGTGCATTATCCTACAGCCCCACACTAGGATTGACTGACTGACTGACTGACTGACTGACTGACTGACTCTCTCTCTCTCCACACACACACACACACACACACACACACACACACACACACACACACACGGGGATGGGGGGGATGTGTTGTTGTTAGTACTGTTGAGTTAGCTCTGACTCATAGTGATCCTGAATAGGATTTCCAAGGAGCGGTTGGTGATTTTGAATCACTGACCTTGAAGTTAGCAGTCCAGTGCTTATCCTACAGCACCAGAGGTAAATTAATATTAATGATATATTATATTTATTTAGTACAACAGGTCTAATATATCATCAGGAGGCTTCTATGTGCTTGAAAAAATTCCTATCTAACATTCAGCATTTTCAAGGCTAGCCAACAACCATAGTGGCCCAACACTGATTTCACATGTGATCAATATTAACAATTTGCACATAAAACATTTTATGTGTATTGAACAGAACTCTATTCATATTTGTAACTCTTTAACAGAACAGCATTTCTTTTAAATTATTTTTGTGCCAAAAATTCTTTGTGAAACTGAGTTTGTTTTAATCATACTTAATGTCATTCCTAATATCCTTCATGCCTGGTCCCACCCCCAGAGATGCTATTTCCATCAGTCTGGAGTTTGGTCTTGCTATGACAGTCAAGTGCTTCTAGTGTGCAGAGCCAGAGTTGAGAACCACTGTTCTAGAGCTTTCCTAAAATATGATCCAGTTTGCCTCATCAACTTCTGCTCTGGCGGTTCTGTGGGGCAAGCAATGGACTGCTAAACACATAGTAGTGGTGGTTATGTGCCATGGAGTCAGTTCTGACACTTAGCAACCCTGTACGGGGTTTCCAAGGCTGTAAATTTTTAAGGGAGCAGAAATCTTCATCTTTCTCCCATGGAGCAGCTGGTAGTTTCAAACTTCTGACCTTAAGGTTCACAGCCCAATTCGTGAACACTACCAGAGCTCCTTAAAGACAAGGTAGGCAGGTGGAAAACACCAGCCATTCTGTGGGAGAAAGATGAGGCTGTTTGCTCTCATTAACATTTACAGTCTCAGAAATCCTGTATGGTTGCTGTGATTCAGAACCAATTCAATGGCAGTGAATTTGAGGGGTTTTTTTTATGTGTGTGAGGAGAGCAAACGTTTTTTTAAAGAAACCTAGCAGAGAAGAAGCTAACATGTAACTCCAAAGTGTGATTTGCACTAAAAGGCACTAAAGAAGATTTTCAAGGTTCTAAATTTGTCTATATTTAATCCCCCTCACCCCCTACCTAACAAAAAGAATACAATTCACACTATGAATGCTTTAAATTGCTAACTGGTTTTAAAAAAAAAACAAAGACATCATGCACATAAGCAGATCACACTCAGCTATACATACTGCAAAGGAGCTCTGGTAGCATTGTGATTATGAATCGAGCTGCAAACCTCAAGGTCAGCAGTTCAAAACTACCAGCTGTTCCACAGGAGAAAGATGAGGCTTCCTGCTCCCATTAAGATTTATAGCCTTGAAAAGGCTGTACAGGGTCACTGTGAGTCGGAACTGGTTCTGCCACAGCACACCACCAACACCATGTTGTTGTTGTTAAGTACCGTCGAGTCGGTTCTGACTCATAGTGACCCTGCACAGGGTTTCCAAGGCTGTAAATCTTTATGGGAGCAGAGCGCCTCATTTTTCTCCCGTGGAACAGCTGGTAGTTTTGAACTGCCAACCTTAAGGTTAGCAGTCCAATTCATAACCACTACACTACCAGAGAGCTCCTTTACAGACTGTAAAATTATTCAGATAAATGAATATAACAATTAAAAAAAAATAGAATCTAAAGACATGAGCCTAATTTCAAATTGATTCTAAACTTTCAGAAGTAGAGTTACTAACTGGAAATAAGCAAATGGAACTACTTTATATTTTTCTACAGAGATAATATTTACATGGTGTAATAAGACGATGAATTTACTTTGATGAGCCAGATACAAAACCTACCAATCATAGTCACAAAGCACATTAGTGTCTATCATTGCTTCCTCTCAATGGCACTCTGCCCCACAGCATGGCTTCCATCACAGAGGATGTCCTGCAGTGACCACAGAGAACACTTGACTTCTCTGGCTTCAATGCCAACAACCCCTCAACATGCAGGCATCCACATCAAGGGAACAGCTGGAATGGAATGGGCTTCCTCTAACTCAAGGACTGAGACTTTCTCTGCCAATTCCCAAGGTGGCTTGGCCAGACTTCATGGATTCACCCTGATTAACGGTTTTAATTGATGGTGTGGTATCATGTGGCTTTATTCAATAATAGAAACAGCATGTTGACATATCCCTAAATGTTCTACGAGCATTGCCTCTAGCTTTCTAGCAAAGATAAATGTACCCTTCAACCACTCCACACTTAGGCTTATTTCACCTCTTACACTGAATTTCAGAAATTAGAATAGGACATTTCCAAAAGGCATGAAACTTACAAGTTTACTAACTGTGGTCAACAAAAAGTTCCCTACTTGGGCCAACACTGTGAAGGAAGGACTATAACCTGGTAAGACTTCTAAATAATGTACTGGATCTCACACAGCACACTCTTGTAACCCCAAAAGGCTGATGCATGACATCTACCTGGCCCCGATTTCCATTTCTGAGGAGGAATGGAAAGTAGAACGCAAGTTTCCAAGTTGCTAAACTCAGAAAGCCAGGATGGTAATCACTATTCACCTGTGTCCAGGCTGAGCACAGAACTGAAATACATGGCTCTATAATCCTTGCCTGTACTTCATATGTCAGTTAACATGTACAGAATGAACATGAAGAACAAAGAAATAAATTTTCCTTCAAACGTTTACAAATACAGGAATGACACTGAAGGATTTTAAACATGAAAAAGATGGAAAGGTGACGTTAAAGTTGCAGAAGAACGCCATCCCTGTGGTGTATGTAAAACTCTGTAGGAAAATGGACCAATGGAATTGTTGCAACTGCTAAAGTCAGCCTTGATGCAAGGGACAGTGAGCCTCAGAGAAAGACCTAGACAATAAAAGCTATCCCAAAGTACCATAAATGTGCAGGTGACAAAGATCCCTACCTTTCTGGAAGAACTCTTCTAATTTGTCCTTGAAAGGCTGGAGATATTCCTTTGGAGACTCCTTACAAACCACCATCATCTGCTTCTCACTTGCTGTGAAGAGAAGTTTAGAATTAGACATAGACAAGCACACATATTTACTGAGTTCCTACTATGAGCCAGGCATTGTGCTTAGCACTTGGGTATTGAGTGCAGAATCCTTTATCAATGTTCATCCACAGTCCAATAAGAAAGCATAGAAATAACAATGAACTAATAAGCATTAAGCCAAACAAGAACCAAGAACGGAAACACAGCAATAACAAATGGTGGTGTTGTTAAGAGCAAGTGGGTCAGCTCCAACTCATAGTGACCCTGTAAAGGGTTTCTGAGGAGTGGCTGGTGATTTGAACCTTGTGGTTAGTAGTCCAGTGCTTATCTTACATCGTCACACTAGGAGTCCTGGTGTGGCACTGTAGGTTAAGTATTGGACTGCTAAATAAGCCAGCAGTTCAAATTCATAAGATGCTCTCCAGAAAGTCTATACAGGGTTGCTATGAGTTGAAACTGACTCAGTAGTACTTAAAAATGGTGACCATTTTTAAGTATTTGAAATAAAAGGACTGGAAGAGGAGACCTTTATTTACTTTTAGGAATTCCTATTCAATTGATTTGGCATTTTCAAAACTTGCATCCTGGAACATTTACTATGAGCAAAGCAACACAGTATCTGCCCCACAGCACAGGAGATTTAAAAAGGGGCCACTTACATGTCCTCTGAAATTAGTTAGCTGATCCTTTTGTCTTGTAAAATTGCCAACTAAATTGCTGAAGCTCTAAACAGTTCTGGTGTGGTGTTGTAGGATCAGCACTGGACTGCTAGCCACAGGTCATTGGTTCAAACCCACCAGCTGCTCTTCAGAAACCACATATAGGGTCTCTATGAGTTAGAAGTGATTCCATGGCACTTAAACAACCAGTAAGACTGCGCTGAAGATGAAAGCACGGCTCAAGAGAACTCTGCTTCATTCTGCACTGAGTTCAGAAGGACCCACACTGTCAGAGGGAGCTACAGGATATTGTCAAGATACAGATTTCCGAGATCTCAGCACAGGAATGTCTAAACTCAGACTTTCTACTGACACTGTCATTTTTCTAAAGGTTTTAAATACAGTGCATTCTGAAATATCTGCTATTAACTATTTAGACAACTATTCCATTGTCTCTTGGGATGCAAATAGGAACTCTGGGGGCGCAGTGGTTAATGAAGTTGCTAACTAGAAGGTCCTACTAGATGCTCTGTGGGAGAAAAATGTGGCTTTCTGCTTCTGTGACGATTGTTGTTGTTGTTAAGTGCCCTTGAGTTGGTTCTGACTCATAGCAAGCCTGCATAGGGTTTCCAAGGCTATAAATCTTTACAGGAGCAGAAAGCCTCATCTTTCTCTTGTGGAGTGACTGGCCAGCTTAAACTGCTGACCTGTGGTTTACAGACCAGAATTTATTGTACGGAGCCACCATGGAAACTATAAAAACAACAACATGGGGGAAAATGTCCTTTTCTGCATTATTTGAGTACATTGGTTTGAAAAATAGTGTTTGTACTCAGAAATGTGGTATGTACCATGATTTAGCTAGCCCTCATTTTTTATTGTTTTCAATAAAATTTTACAGATTTATTATGTTGTTTTTGTTGTTAGGTGCTGTCAAGTTGGTTCTGACTCATATCGACCCTGTATAGGGTTTCTAAGGAGCAGCTGGTGAGCTTGAACTGCCAGTCTTGTGGCTCAAACTAACTTTGCAGTCCAGCACATTAACTCACAGCATCATACGAATACTCCAGATTTATATAAAAGACTATATTTTTCATATAGAATTTTTAGATTGTTGAAAATATTTATTACGTATGCAAAATAACTCGATTTTAGTTGCCTTTTTCCGATTTCCATTTGTAACTGACTGCTAGTGTGGTATGGTGCTGTAGAATCATCACTGGACTGTGAACCACAGGTCAGCAGTTCAAATACATCAGCTACTCCTCAGAAACCCTACACAGGGTCATTATGAGTTGGAATTGACTCAACCGCACTTAACAGCAACAACAACCGTATTTTTGGCAAAAGGCAGAGCTATTTATTTTAAATCTTTCTGTTACACTCAATGTTACCAAATTTTGGTACTAGCCCTAATATTTCTATTTGTTCTTTCTAGATACAAATTTTGAATCTTTAGTTATTAAACACCTAAACTCTGTTGTTCATCACAGAATTAAAAAAAAAAAATTCAATTATTTTTAGGTACGCTTTATATAAATTGCATATAGTGTCTATTAGTAATACCATTAAACACAAATAATATAAAGTAAGGCATGCCTGCACCTGGATACTATGGATAGAACTGAAGCTATGAGAAGAATTTCTTCAAAGTTACTTCTTCCTAAGCAAAGCAAAACTAAAGACAGAGGTTCATTTTCTGACAACAAAAGCCAAACGTCCACTTTTGCTTGCATTAAAGGAATCCATCACTGTAGCTCTCCATCTGTTGTGGCTGTTGAGAGAGAGCCCATGGTGATGCACATCAAACCTCTTTTGATTCCATGGGGGGGGGGGGGGGCTAAGTGGGTTAGTGAAAGCTTGTGCTTGGAGCAAGGGCCATCTGAGTTCAGGTTCTGACTGCTCCTGATTGGACAGTGGGGACCTTGGGCCATGGCTTGTTTATCTTCTCTGTCAACTTGGGACTTCCTCAAATGCATGATAAAACCCAAACCAAACCCAATGTTGTCAAGTTCGTTCTGATTCATAGTCGGACACAGTACAACTGACCCATCGAGTTTCCAAAGCTTGAGCTTTACAGGCGCAGACTGTCACATCTTTCTGCCACAGAGTGGCTGGTGGATTTGAACTACTGACTTGTTGTTAGTAGCCAAGTACTTAACCACGGTGTCACCAGACCTCTTTCAAAGGAATGGCAGGAGAATTAAATGAGATATGGTACGTAAGTGCTTCACAGAGTGCCTAGCTCCAGCAAACGTGCTCAAAATACTGTTATTTTTGTGCTTTAGTAAAATTGGTCAGGAAACATGTCACAGCTAGTAGGAGAGTCATGACTGGGGAACATGACTGCATCATCATCACTATAGATACTGTGTATGAATTTTCCAGAAACAAGCTATACTGCAACACTCCTGTTGAGAACATCAGTACAGAGATTTTCCTTCATTTTCTGATGTGCCACCATCCCACTGTGAGAATTCAACTGAAGAATGTGGGCAAACTCCTAGGGAAAGAGGAAGCAAATGTGAAACAAGTCCCCCAGGCCTCTGAGCCTCCAGGTTTTGAAATTAGAAACTGAAGTCAGTACAAATGAGAGCAAGCGCTGCTGCTGAGCTTGGCGTCCTCTCTGCACCTCCATGGGCCAGGCCTCCCACGTGGTCTGTTAGAATTAGACTTCTCCACACGATCAAAGGAGAGTGCTGCCCTCCGACTGTCCCAGCACAGCCACACGTTCCAGTGGCTGGGCAGCTTGCCCCACTCCAATTTATTAACTCAGCTTAGCCCAAGATGCTTTCTAGCAGACAGATGGGAGACCTGAAGACTAATTAATGATGACACTGGAGACTGGCAATGCAAAAAGGAGAGAGGTCATAGACAAACCCACAAATGTAGTTTATTGTCCAACCAGTAGACTTGTACGCAGTATTGCTAGACCACCAAGGTTGCCGTAGACACAGGCTGTGCCAGAAGCTCCAATGTGAAAAGTTAAAGTTACCACAGACTCTTTTTCTCTTCCTTTTCTTGCATTCTCTGTAAAATTTCTGACAGAATTAAATGCATATTAATTCCTGAAGTTAGCTTCTAATAAGTGATCATTGTGAGAGATGGAGAAAGCTAAAATATTACAAACCAACACATCATGAAGTAACAGAGACTAAATTGAGAGCATACACATTAAAGATGAAGTACTTGGGAAACATTTTAGGGGTGGAAAAAAAAAGCCTGACATGGCTTTAACTTCTAAGATCTCAGATATTAGATGGTTGTAGCCATATATAGGTGGCTGTGTGCTATTTGTTTTTTATCTCTAAGGACAAGAGAATAAAGATTATTGAGCCACTTGAAAAACATGGATGCTATCTCACACCATGTACAAAATGGACCAAAGACCTAAATGTAAGAACTAAAAGCAAAACTCTGTTAGAATAAAACGTAAGAGTAAAGCAAACACAAGCAGAAAGAGACAAAACAGATAAATCAGAAATAAAAACTTCCGCATCAAAGGATTTTATAAACAAAGTGAAGACACAACCAATAGATTGGGGGAAAAAAATATATCTGATAAGAGTTTTATATCCAGAATATACAAAGAATTCCTACAACTCAACAACACAAAGACAAACATCCAATGAAAAAATGGGCAAAGAACGTAAAAAGACATTTCACCAAAGAAATTATACTAATGACTGATAAACACTTGGAAAAGATGTTCACTATTATTAGTGATTGTTGGTGGTGTTAAGTGCCATTGCGTAGGTTCTAATTCACAGTGATGTTGTATAGGGTTTCCAAGAAATGGCTGGTGAGTTTGAAACTTTTTTTTTCAAAAAAGTTTTTTTGCAGTTCAAACCGACCTTGAGGTTGAATGCTTTTCCTAGGGCACCACACCAGGACTCCATCAATAGCCACTGTTGTTGTTGTTGTTGTTGTTAAGTGCCGTCAAGTTGGTTCCGACCCATAGTGACCCTATATAGGGTTTCTGAGGAGCAGCTGGTGAGCTTGAACCACCAACCTTGCCATTCAAATGGCTTTGCAGTCTGACGCATTAACCCACAACGCCACACCAGGACTCATCAGTAAAATGCAAATCAAAATAACAAGGAGATTTTCCTTCACACTGACTAGCTATTATCAAAGAAGTGGAAAATAACAACTGTTGGTGAGGATGTAGAGAAGCTAGAACCCTAATCTACGATTGGTGGGATTGTAAAATGATATAGCCACCATGGAAAACAGTATGGTCGTGCCTCAAATGACAGAGAAAATCATACTCCTAGAGAACTGAAAGCAAGGATTCAGATATTTATACACCAATGTTCACTGTGGTATTATTCATAACAGGCA